ACAAACTGTTATTTATGGCTGGCTATAGACAGATGTATATTTTCTGTATATATGCAAATCCTCAGCTTATTTGCTTGAACTGTGGCTGAGCTTGACTTTGTGTCCTGGCTGAACTATTGCTGGTTTCTGTTTTATAAAGGAGTAACAAACTGACTTCTCATTCTGTTGTTTATAGTATCGCCACGGGTTCAGTCGCAGTGATTTCAAAATCAACAGAGATGAGAAAGAAGTCCAGGAGATCTTTCAGAGAACCATGAGGAACCGGTTGGAGTCATTCAAGTCTGCAAAGATGGGTGTTTCACCTCCAAAGACACTTGTCAAGTACTCAAAGAAAGAACAGCAGGAGAAGGTAAAGACAAAAAGAGGGAATAAGCACACCCTACCACCGTTTACAGAGTTGATTATGTCTCTTGTGAAGTCCAGTGAAGACGAAATACGGTCCTTCCCCAAAGCTTCATTTTTAGTTTTTTTTCCATTTGACTTCAGTGTAGTACTGAAAATCCTTAGTACAAGACAGCGGTCTGGAAACTGAAAACCAGCTGCTGGACTTTTGGGAGAGAAATGTTGTCCTTTTCTTTTTAAATGTTGGGTGGCTCAATAGACCTGTTTCATGATGCTCCAAATGTTTTTAGTTGGTAAAAGTTCTTGACTGCAGGCAGGCTGTCAGCACCCAGACTCTTCTATGAAGTCATGTTGCTGTGATAGCAATCTGCAAATTAGCAAAGCCTTCCCTGAAAAACATGTCATCTGGATGGGAGCATATTTTGACCTTTATACATACCTTTTAGCACTGATGGTGCCTTTACAAATATGCAAGCAACCACTTCCATATGCATCTCCATACCATCCCAGATGCAGGCTTTTGAACTGAGTGCTGGTAACAATCCAGAGAGTCCCTCTCCCCGTTAGTCTTGAGAATGTGGTGTCCATGTCTTGCAAAAAGAATTTCACATTTTAATTCATCTGATCATGGAACAGTTTTTTCATGTTGCCTCAGTTTCTTTGTTTTTATGATTTTTTTAAAAGGTACATTGTGTTATATTTCTTCTTTTGTCTTTGATGTCAAGAAACATTTAATTTTATTCATTTTTAAATCCTGCCTGGAAGTTTTATCAGTCAGAATCATGATCTGAATGTACTGTTATGCCAAACAAACTTGGATCTTTCCAAGATCAGCTCTATAAATTCTCTATAAATTCTCCTATTGTTCATGTGCGTCATTTATCTAGGTCAAGTTTATTTATATAACGCATTTCCCAGAGCTCATGCTGCACAAAGTCTTTAAAAACTAAAATGCAACTAAAACAATTAAAATGTGCAGCAATAAAAATATAAAAGAAAAAAAGTAATACAATAAGACAATAAAGACAGCCAACACAACAATGGCCATAAGGGATATTTAGACGTGGAGTGAAAACAAAAGGAAGCATTAAACAATACTTGGAAGTGCACAGATTTGTGGGTGAATTGCCAAAGGACAATGGGACACTGAGACATTAATACAAATCAAGGAGACCGAGACAAGAGAATTAGATTCAATACACAGCACAGGTGACAACAAGATGCCAAAGGAAAGATAGAAGCTAAACACAATGGGGCACAAAGGAAAGACTAAGAAAACAATAATCAGCAATAGTAAACGATACAAAATAAACCGAAGTCAGACACTTTGCAAAATAATCAGAAACTCAAACAAGGAAATAGGACTCGAGATATGCAGAAATGTGGCAAACACATAAATAATAATTGATTGTTGTTGATAAGTGATTGCAGAGTGCCCTCTGCTAGACAAACTAGGTAACATTGATATTGGTGTGACATGGCTGAGGGCGTTGATCTTGTCTCTTTTACTTTACCTTCAGTTTTTTTTAAACATCATATGTGATTAAATAAATCTCCTTCGTTCTACAGATCCCAAATGGAAAGTCAGTGAGCAAGACTAAACTCTGCCATTCTGGTGATGAAGGTTTGTCTGCTCGTGGGGTTTTTTGTGTTTTTGTTTTTTTTTTCAGATTTAAAGTCTTTACAAACTAATTTTCTCATTTTCATTTTATAGACTTTGAGTTCTCAGAGGGAGATAGCGCCTCTGGCTATGACTCGTCATACCCTTCTTTCTCCATGAGAGCCACGTACAGACCAGGAGGTGAGATCAATGCACTTTCTACATCCTGTATGAAACCAAACATATATTTTTGAGAATGATTAAGAGAATAGCAGATGCTGTTATTATAAACACAGAGATTAGGGAAACATACAGAGGGAACTAAATAGACAGTTTGTATGCAATAAAAAAAACCCAAAACAGGTGAAATATAAAAGTGTGGTAGAAAGGTCTCTACAGAGCTGCAGATGAGCCACAAACCACACCACACAACAAAAAGTATGTAAGGTATGTAAAAAGCTGCAGGGTAAAGGCACCAGACTGTCATACAACACAAGGACTTTGTACTAGTGGACTGACAGGTTAAAAACCAGCTAATGTTCAATCCGTCTGTGTTGAATATTTCCATTCTTACCTGTTGGGAACAGTTTAGGGCTACAGTGCAAATATGAAAGCAGCTCATTATCAAAGAATTTATTTTGAATTTCCTAATACTGTTCTGACTCTGCAAGCAAACACCTATAAAACACTTTCACAGTTGAGTTGAGTTTATGTATAAATGTCAAATAAAAAAACAACAACAACTCCAGAACAGCGAGTGTATTTGAGTTTAAATGTTTAAGCTGAATTAAAGTGGATAGACCACAAGTGCAAGGGATGAGCAGCCAATAATGGTTTCACTTGTATGAAAATGTAATGCAGAGAACAACAGTGGCCCTAATATTGAACCCTGAGGTACTGATTCAGTTTTTTCTTTCATTAAGGTGGGATTGAGAACCCAGCCTTCATGCCAGATCTGTACCCCACGGATTTGTTGCAGGAGATCCCTCCTTGGCTGGCAGAGGGTGAGCCCGACAGCAGCATGGTGGCTCCGTCATTGCGAGCCCAGGCGAACCTTCCCAATTCACCTATGGAAATGCACCGCCTGGGGCTTCTTCCTGCCAGCACTCGCTCTACTGACACAAAGCAGATGAACAATGATCAGTTGCCCCCTCCGCCAACACCTCCTCCTCCTCCACCTCCCAGTGGCCACATGTAACTGTATCCCAATACAGACACCCTGTTCTGTCTCACTTGAACCTGGAACAAAGACACAAAACCAACCTCAGACTAATTAATCATCTACTCTCATACTGACAAGAAAATGTTTATTTTCCATGACTATGGTTAGCTCCTGTGTTTCTACACAAAACATTTACATAACCTCTTTAAACAACCCCTGCTGTTTTTAGGTTCACCCTTCACTTGGCAAAAGAAAAACTGCACTGAAACAAATCCTTTATGTTCAACATTAGATATATGTTGAACACTGTCATATAGTCTATGGTTTGTAGTAAACATGCTATTGAAAATTATTATTTAAGGTTTTTTTTTTCCAAAACATCTTAATATTATGTATAAACCTTTCAAATGATGTGTAGATATCAATTATAAAAACAGTGATTTAAAATACTTTCTGAATCTATAATCCATACATTCGTATTGCAGAATACCACAACAACTTTCACCACTTGGGGCACTATTTTGTGTGAAAGATGAAATATTAATAACAAATAAAATGCTACATAGGTCAATGATGCAAACACATTTTAGTGGGATGCATTTAAACATTTGCAGCATATATAATGCAGATTCTTAGTAATATTTAGTGAGGCTCCAGCCTGCTCTGAACGCTCTCTGTTTTTCGACTTTTGACTTGTTACATTCCCCTGAGGGGTCTAGGCGGTGAGGGGGAAGTAACAAAAAGTGTCCGGGTCAGGAAAAAGGAGTCAAGGAGGCAAAAGGGTTAAATTAAATAGTTTTATTAAGCCGCTATCACCATTTAAGGAAAACAAACAAAACTCAAGCGTTGGTCAATAAAGTAAAAAGTAAGTCAAAAAGAGAGCAGCTCACTAGCTACAACCACACAAACACACAGCTCACTAGCTGCAACCACACTAATGGCACTCTGGCCCAGAGCTCACCTTTCCCTGGGATTAAATACTTTTAATTACTGACGACAGTCAGCTGAGTAAAAGGGAAAGGTGGCACCTCAGGCAGAAGCGATTGAAGGACACTCCCACACAGGCACCTTCAGGAGGAGGCCCTGCTAGGGCCGTAACAGACTCTTGCAATGGAAGGGAGAAAGGACATCCCAAATATGGTCATCTCAGATGCTCCACCCACCTTCCGTTTCAGAGGGTCAAACAATTAGGAAAAAGTTGGTTTAAAGGCAGATGATGAACTAAGAGGTATTCATTAAGGGCCAGTAGAAGATAAATGAGGGTATCAATGAGGATTATTATGAACCATGAATAATGCAAAGCTACTCTTGTCTGAGAATCAAAATCTGCAGGTGTAAATGAGTTTGATGTGCCCATTTTAATTTCTTGTATTGTTTTAATTTTCTAATAAATAGAATAGGTGTGACTGTTTCTCTGTCTTTCTGTGTTAGCTCTGGCGACTTTCTTAGGGTGTACCCTCCCCAGCACCCTTCACAACCCTGAATTGGATAAATGGAAGAAAATGGAGAGATGAACTGATTAAGTGTATGATCAAAAATCACATGAAAAAGAACTTTAAAAAGATGTAAAAAAAAAAAAATCGTTTTAATCAACTCCATCTGAGAAGTTTAATATTGGTGAGAAGCTGCTAATAAAGCCATTCACAGGCTTAAATTATACCACTGAGTAAAGTGACCAAACTTGCTGGTCTGGGTACAAAAGTGGGTTGAGCCAGGCCAGCATCATAATGGGCAGTGTTTCACAAGCTTTGAAAAGCTGTATCCTTGATATACAGGAGAGCAGAGAGTGGATACTATGCTCTGGTCAAAAGAAGAGGTGGATGTATGTGGAACATTTATGTCAACAATCTGATGGCATATAGTTTGCTGATGGTTTATAAGGGATTTTATCCAAGAATGGCAGCTTCTTGGGGATTTACACTTTTTCTCTGCGTGCTGCTGATGGTGTGTAGAGGCTTGAGCCTTGCGGGTGAAGATCCAGATCAAACTTTATCAAGCAGTGGTCAAGTAAAAACCCGTAATCCACAAATAGACAATGCAATGAGCTCAAACCATGGCACAACTGGAGAAGGTGGCCATGCAGCGGAGCCCATCACTACACTGCCTATTGTGTCCTGGAAGTGGCATCATGTCACCACCCCGTACCTGGTGGCGCTGTGGATCCTGGTTTCCTGGCTCTGCAAACTTGGTGAGTCCTGCAAAGTCCTGTTTCTGCAAGGCTCCGCTCTCCCCTCATCAACCAGAAACCCTGGAAAAGCTATTTTTGCACAAAGCTATTAAAACCTATTTTAGCTTGAATTCTACACTCAATTTGAATATCTATTGTGTAGAACACAGAAAAAATAATGAGAATTTAAAATTCCTTTAACTATTTGCTGCTATCTACATTGTTAATTGGTGATTTTGCCTCCACACCTTAGGTGTTAAAGTGGGATTCAGTAGGTGGGATGTTATAGCAGTGCAGAAAAGAAAATAATTGTAGAACATAGAAGTAGGTCCCAATAATTTCCAGATTTCTTTGCCTGCAGGCTACAGGCTGTGAGCTGTGCTGCTACTCTTTGTAGATTCCATCCATCCATTGTCTTCCACTATATAAGCAGATGTAACATGAGCTACCGTAACTGATTTCCCACTCCTAGACAGTGTAAACCTCTTAGACTGACCATGAACACTATCGCTGCTCTACACCAACCCAACATTCAATTCAACACAATTTACTTTTATAGCGCCAAATCACAACAGTCACCTCGGAGCATTTTAGATTATAAGGTACGATAATATAGAGAAAATCACAAAATTCTGATTATCTCACTTTGAGGAAGCTAATCGCTATTAGCTGTCCTAAAAGTTGCTAGAAGTCGCTAAATGACATCATAGCCTAATTTGCATAATTGGTCATGCTAATGTTACTGTAACCTACATTGTAGGAGAGAAAAATAACATTGTGGGAGAGACATAAAGTGAGTTAAAAATGTCTTAAATGCATTTAGAATTTATTTAAATCTACAAATTAAATTTCTTTTAACAATTATTGTTTTTTAATGTCACAATTCCAACCCTGCTCCTTTATCCAGGCTTGGACCGGCAAAAGTGACCCCAAATGGGCACTCTGGTGAAGTTACTTTGTGTTAGTGTGTGTGTGTGTTTGTAAGTAGTTTTAAACCTTGTGATCCACAAAACAACATAACAGTAGAACTGACTGCGGGAGTTGCGGCTTGCAGTTTGGACACATAGGTGTGAGCATCTCCTGCCCTGATAGCAGCTGGGGTAGGACTATCCTCCGCCTGTGAGCGCTTTGGCACGGGCGAGGTGCCCACGGCAGCACCCGCTGCTTGTTGAGAGTAAGAACGATACACGCTTTTACGTCAAGAAGTTGTCATAAATAAGTCTCCAATAACACCAGAGAAAGTTGCCAGATTAGTTGCTAGTCGCTTTTTACAAAAAAAAAAGTCGCTAAGCGGGTCTGAAAACTTGCTAAATATAGCGACAAAGTTGCTAAGTTGGCAAAACTGCATGTGGCTAGCTACCATAGCTGTGTAGCTAGCCACCACGTAGAACATCATTATATACCAGCTAGCCCAACTTCAGCAACCTTACAAATGTCACTACTGTTTAGTTTTCTAGGTTCATTAATGTCTGAAGTGATAGTAGAGCTGTACATTTTCAGAAATCCCTCATTCAGAACATGGTATATTATGTTTAGGTGGAAACTAGCGAGCTAACTCCTTGCTAACTTTGAACTCCGTTAAATTTGATAAATCCTGTTTTCATGGATGCCTGGATGTTAAACTTAATTATTACACTTGGTAGAGCAGCCATAGTGATCATTTTGTTAAAGATGAAGAATTTAGACAGTTTTTAATTCTAGGTGATCCTACAGTGTTCATTTGACTTAGGGCAGGGGTCGGCAACCTGCATGCGGCTCTTAAGTCCTCATAGTGCGGCTCCGCGTGGTTCGGGAAAATAAATTAGAAGTATTTAGCTGAAGTGTATTTTATTTATGTTAGTTCTTTTTTAAACTTGTAGTTCTAAATTGGAAGATTATTGTGATA